AAACAACAACCAACCACAAACAACAACAACCAAAACAACAACCAACAACAACCAAAACAACAACCAAAACAAACAACAACAACAACCAAAACAACAAGCACAAACAACATCAACCAACAACAACCAAAACAACAACCACAAACAAACAACAACAACCAACCACAAACAACAACAACAACCAAAAAAAACAACCACTCCACAAACAACAAACAACAACAACCAAAACTACAAACAACAACAACCAAAACAACAACAATCACAAACACCAACCAAAACAACAAACAACAACAACCAACAACAACCAAAACAACAAACAACAACCACAAACAACAACAACCAACCAACCACAAACAACAACCAAAACAACAAACAACCACAAACAACAACCAACGAACCACAAACAACAACCAAAACTCAACAACAACAACCAACCACAAACAACAACAACCAAAACAACAAACAACAACAACCAAACACAAACAACAACAACAAACAACCAATCACAAACAACAACAACCAAAACTACAAACAACCACAAACAACAACCAACGAACCACAAACAACAACCAAAACTCAACAACAACAACAACCAACCACAAACAACAACAACCAAAACAACAAACAACAATGACCAAACACAAACAACAACAACCACAAACAACAACAACAACAAACAACCAACCACAAACAATAACAACTAAAACAACAAACAACAACCAAAACAACAAACAACAACAACCAACCACAAACAACAACAACCAAAACAACAAACAACCACAACCAACAACAACCAAAACAACAACCAAAATAACAAACAACAATCAACCACAAACAACAACAACCAACCACAAACAACAAACAACAACAACCAAAACAACAAACAACAACCACAAACAACAACAACCAACCAACCACAAACAACAACCAAAACAACAAACAACAACAACAACGACAAACAACCAAAACAACAAACAACAACAACCAACCACAAACAACAACAACCAAAACAACAACCAACAACAACCAAAACAACAACCAAAACAAACAACAACAAACAACAACAACCAAAACAACAAGCACAAACAACATCAACCAACAACAACCAAAACAACAACCAAAAACAAACAACAACAACCAACCACAAACAACAACAACAACCAAAAAAACAACCACTCCACAAACAACAAACAACAACAACCAAAACTACAAACAACAACAACCAAAACAACAACAATCACAAACACCAACCAAAACAACAAACAACAACAACCAACAACAACCAAAACAACAAACAACAACCACAAACAACAACAACCAACCAACCACAAACAACAACCAAAACAACAAACAACCACAAACAACAACCAACGAACCACAAACAACAACCAAAACTCAACAACAACAACCAACCACAAACAACAACAACCAAAACAACAAACAACAACAACCACAAACAACAACAACCACAAACAACAACAACAAACAACCAATCACAAACAACAACAACCAAAACTACAAACAACCACAAACAACAACCAACGAACCACAAACAACAACCAAAACTCAACAACAACAACCAACCACAAACAACAACAACCAAAACAACAAACAACAATGACCAAACACAAACAACAACAACCACAAACAACAACAACAAACAACCAACCACAAACAACAACAACTAAAACAACAAACAACAACCAAAACAACAAACAACAACCAACCACAAACAACAACAACCAAAACAACAAACAACAACAACCAACAACAACCAAAACAACAACCAAAATAACAAACAACAATCAACCACAAACAACAACAACCAACCACAAACAACAACTAAAACAACAAACAACAACAACAAAAACAACAAACAACAACCACAAACAACAACAACCAACCAACCACAAACAACAACCAAAACAACAAACAACAACCAAAACAACAAACAACAACAGCAACCAACAAACCACAAACATCAACCAACCAACCAACAACAACCAAAACAAAAACAACCACAAACAACAACCAAAACCACAAACAACAACCAAAACCACCACAATAACACTGAGCTTCGCCAGACCTGCTGCTGCTGCTGCTTCACCTCTGGAGAGAAGACTGGAGCCAGTTCAAGCGCTGGAAATCTCTGATGATGAGTCTCATCCTCACTGTCACTGACAAACACACCTGAAACACACACACACACACACACACACACACACAGATCATAAACACATGTATTATACTCACACAGATCATACACACACATCATGAACATGCACACTATGCACACATCATAAACATACACGCCTATCATTATCATATACATACAACACAGATAACACACACAGATCATAAAGATACACACACACCTATACACACCCCCATACATCATTAACCCATAACATGCACACATACACACACACACACACACACACACACAGTATAGATCATGTACATGTGGATTTTGTACTTTAGTACAGCTCATAAACACACACACACACAGACAGACACACAGTGTATGTGCTGCACACCTGCGCAGGTGCGCCTCCTCTGGATAGGTGTGTGTGTTCTTCTGTGCGCAGGCAGGTACAGGTGGTTGGGTGTGGATGCGCTGGGCTGTGGTGCTGCACTGCAGAGGTCAGAGGTCAGCGGTGGGAGGTCAGAGGTCAACCCAGAGACGCTGGCGCCTGCTGCTGCTTCCTCCTCAGACTCAGACTCGAAGCCCAGGTCAAAGTTCACCGAGAAAAAATCCTGAGAGCAGCGGAACACACAGCTGCTCCCTGAACCGCCCGCCGCCTGCTCTCCTTCAGGTCCTGTGAGGTTTGATCTACTTCCCGTGACATTGACTGGCGACTCCTGCTCTCCTTCAGGTCCTGTAAGGCTTGATCTGCTTCTTGAACCTTCTGTCTCCTGCTTTCCTTCAGGTCCTGTGAGGTTTGATCTACCTTGTGTCACATTAACAGGTGTCCGCTGCTCTCCCTCAGGTCCTGTGAGGTT